AAAATTAAATTTTTAACTACTTAATAAGATATCTGTGACATCGGAATCGTAGCAGTTACCGGATTTAAGCGGCGACGGAACGGTCATTGGAATAGTTGTCGGAATTAAGCGCGGTTAGAGAACAGTTTAATATTTAATTTAATATAATAATTGTGAAATATAGTTAATTAATTCATGAAAAACGTGTTTTTTGCAATTTTAAAACTTGGGGCCTGATTTTTGATTTCACGATAGATAATACATGATCCATGAATTTTTCCCTTTATATAAAGTTATTTATGGACATATGTATCAATTCATGCGTGTAATCTATGCTCATTTACTGTACATTAACCTGTGTGAGCAATTAACTTTTTTAGTATACCATGATATGCTTGAATATAAAAAGTATGAATGCGAAGAATTCGTATAATTATGTGAGTTGATCACTATTTTAGTATTTAATGTAAAGATCAATTATTAAACTATGTGGGGTCCACGATAAAGGACGATTAGTTTAATTTGAAGAGTCAAACTCACTCTCTATTTTAAAAAGTTAAAATAAAGTTTCTTAAAACTCATTTTTAAAAATTGACTCTCTAAAATAGAAAATATCTTTTGTTCAAAGAGTTCTAACACTATAAATATGAGACACCCCTAAGAGTACACAACACTTCATTTTAGCACATATTAAATATAGTCACACAACCACCACACGCGAATATTCAATCCCACATGTTGCTCAAGGGTCTCCCTCCAACAATCATTTTTTTATTTATCTAGTGAAATAGTAAGTGCGTTATTGTGTTATTTTTTTGAGTAATTCTATAGGATAAAGCTGTTTGTACACCAGGTGTACATACACCTGTCTCACATGAATAGTGNATATTTTATTGTGTGTAGGACCCCCTCCATGTGAGGGGGTTGTAAAAGATTGTGTGAATGATTATGTACATATAGCATGATTGAATTCTATATGTCATTTCACAGCTATATTTAAGTTGAGAAAGTCTACTGGTACATCAGACTGTACTGCAAGGAATACATAATGCTGACGTGGCGATATTTTGACGATATTTTGACTGAAATTTGAATTGTTGTAAAATTTACAAAACACACCCCTAACCTTTCAAGGCACGCTTCTCCCCACCCATTTAACCCCCAAATCAATTAAACCCAATTCAAACCCTTCATCCCCCCAAACCGTTGGCTCTCGGTTGTAACTCCACCACCACGAAGGAAGGCTCTCGGCGCCGTCACACTTCGCTCTACCACCACATGAAGGAAGGAGCTCCCGGCTCCATCGCCCATCTCTCCACCGCCACGAAGGACCCCGACGGTCNCCGCCACATGAAGGAAGGAGGCTCCAGGCTCCATCGCCCATCTCCCCACCGCCACGAAGGACCCCGACGGTCGCATCCACTACCACGAAGGCGCCATCGCCTTACCAGAACCTATTTATACTGGTATACCCTTGATTACCCTTGATTACCTATTTAACTTTTCTATATTGTAATTTTAATTTTTACTCCAGGAATGCAGGGGTTAGAACAGCAGAAGGTAATTGAATTCTTTTATGGAGCTGCCAAGCCACCATGTCCGAATGGAGAGAACACAGCAGAGCCAATTGGGGTTCTGAGGTCAGAAGCAAGAGGGTAGAAGAAGTTGAATGGATATTATAGTTAGTTGGTTGTGAAGCAGTACCTAATTGGCTTTATGAAGAAGCAGTGCCTAATTGGCTTTATGAACTTTGTATTGTAGTTGGTTGGTTGTGAAGAAAACGATGAAGAAGCAGAATGTGGTTATTGTTGGTTGTTGTATAGTAGTTGTAGTTGGTTGTGTTGAGAATGTAGTTTCTTCAGAATGTTGTTATTGTTGGTTGTTGTATAAGTAGTTGTAGTTGGTTGTGTTGAGAATGTAGTTGGTTGTATGAACCGTGTACTGTTGTATATGTTGTATATGCAAATTGGC